GGTACTTGACTATTCACTGTTTATGGGTTTGAAGTATATTTCTCTCTTGAAAGGATATTGAAGGCATAAAATAAGTTAATTTACAATTTAAATGGTCTATATATCCATAGGTATCCTGCAATGTGCTTCTGTTAAGCCTATGTTCTATACAATTTTATTTTTGACGGAGAAGTCGGATTATATTTTTTGGGGTTTTCTGATATTTGCTAATCTATTTATTTTTATTAAAAAGCTTTGATCCGCGATTTTTTTTTTTTTTAACTACAGCAAAGAAAACATAAAATCGGCTACAGAATTAAATTAGAGAGGGTGCTACGGCATTTTGCAATTTTGGTGACTACTTTTCTCAGTGTATTATTGTAGATGATTTTATGTAACTAAGGTATCAATGTGTGGAGGTATTGAGTGGTATAATTGTTTATTAGTCCAGCCCAATTGAAGTAAAATGTATTTAGTTTTGGTCCATTTACTTGGTCCATTTTTTATTACATTTTACTAGTTTGAATTAAGTCCAATTTAAGGACTTAAGTTGTGGCTTCTTCTAAAAGTTTTTGATGGGAAATCTTGTGATAAACAGGTGACCAAGTGAGGCAGCCAGTAGCTGTACACACTCACACAAAAAGAGAGAGAGTTTGTGCTCTTTTACAAGAGCTTTCAACTTCGGATTTTTATTACGTTTTACTAGCTTGAGTTAAGTCCAATTAGCTACATTAACAGCCTGTATAAATAGGTAAAACAATAAGATATAGTATAACATACTTCGTATTAACTAACAAGCATTTGAAAGAATAAGACATAGTAGTAAAATATGTTAACTAACAGGAAGTATTTCATTGTTTACCAACTTTAAGTAGGAGCAAAAAAAAGAAACTTTTGAAAGAAAACAATCTAGTCCAAATGCATTCTTGAATAATACGGAGTACAAAGTATACGAGTCTATAATTTTTTGATAGAAGAATAAACAGGATTTTATATGCTCCCTATATATGTATAATTAGTATAAACTACAGCAACATTAAAAAAAAAAGTGCAAGGCCAAAAGAAGTGATGAATGCTTACCAATAGAAATGCCAAAAGAAAAGTGAGAAAGAGCTTCATTTTTTCAGATGTCTTCCAAGTTCCAACTGTTGCGTATGACCCCCCTACCACAGGCTCTGATAGTACTAGTAGGCTAGTAGCATTCTAGTATAGCTACACGGATTAAGAAACTGTTTTATCCATTTTTACTTGTAACATTTCTCATTTTACATTGACCGATTCATTGATTGGATGATAATTATATATAATTACCAACAATTAAAAAAATATATAAATTTGATATTATGTAGTTATAAATCAATCAATAATTTATTAAGATCTTATGTGACTAATATAAACATCAAACTCGGTCAAAGTAGAGTGTAAATAGTATAAAAGTCAAAGTATTGCAAGTGAGAAGAAATCCAGAAAAAGTGTTGCAAGTCAAAGTAGTGGAACTTTTTTTCCGCTCGTCTCTTATAAAGTTGACACGTCTTGTTTTTACAAACTCTAATATGACTACTCCCTCTTCTAGAAAATTAAAACTTTTTCTTAGATTAACATTGACCAGAAATATGTTGTTAAATGTTCTTCCTCTTTTGATGGTGTACGTTTGTCAATGAATATATTTTGACCGGAAATATCTTAGTGTTGAAGTATTAATGTAGGTTAGTTATGTATGGGCTAATACATAGCAATATTAAAATATAAATATAATGAAGGTACATGCATGGAAGAGAGAAAAAATTTATGTGGACCTCACCATCGATTGTTATATACACTCGGGTGCATTGTATATCCATGAGTATTTTGTTCTCATTTAATAGAGAGCAAAAACTAACCTTGCGTTAGTTGAGTATACGGTGCACATGGGTATATATAACAAATTTCACGTGAAATAAGAGAAAACAGTGATGGGATCACACTCTAATTGTACCACTAGAAGCTTACAAAATACCATTGGAAGTTATTTAAGCACTACTAAGAGTGTATTAGTACCAATACAAGCATATGACTATATTATACTCTATATGTTGAGAGGACAATAATCTAAATTCATGGGCATGTTAAAATTTCATGCCAAATTACTAGAATGCCCCTGGTTATACATCTGACCATGCATAATTGTTAACCTTTTGAATGCCTCATATCTTAGTTGCATATTAGTAAAAATATTATAGTTTAATACAGTGGCGGAGTCAGGATTTTCATTGCGGGTGGATGGATTAAGGAAGTCGTTCTATAATTTGACAAAAACCCTTAGACAATTTAATTTAAATTGAGATAAATTAATAAGATCAAATACTTTTGCCCAAAATCCATATTACGACCAATAATTTGGGTTTGTAATTTGACCAGTTATTTAAAAATTATGTATTAAAGTTAGAACATGATTTTATAAAAGGAAAAATTGATTTGAATAATCCCACCTTTGGTCGGTTTGCTGTTAATAATCCCACTTTTAGATTATTATTTAATAATCCCACCTTTATAGGTCATTTTCTTTTATTGGTCCCTTGGGACCGCTAACTTGTACATTAGGTTAACTTTTTTTTTTTTTTTTTTTTGTGATTTTAGTGACACATGTTAATACATAAATGGTCAAAAAAGAAAGAAAAAGATAAACTTAATTTTTTTTTAAAAAAAAACAGCCACCCCAAACACTAACGCCACCTCATCCACGCTTTCGGCAACCATTCCTCCTTAACCCTTCCCCTAAAATTAAACCACCACAATTCCCACGCTCACCCCCATCCCAGAAACACCTTTTCTCCTTCCCTGGCGCCGAAAGCAACACCAGTGAGTACATCAATGGAGGTTGTAAACAAATATGACAACTTCACGATTTTTCAACGATGATCGCAACAGCAAAAGAGTCTTCAAATGACGCGTTTAATTGTTTGAAATTACCCTTAAAAATAGCACTCATTAGATCTATAGGTGAAACCTTGATTGGGTTGGAAGTTGGAACCCATTTGATTGGCGAAAAACACTAATTAAATTTGTTTGATATTTTGATGAAAAAATTGGAAGATTTGATTAAAACCCAAAAATCAAATATGGTGGGAAGAAAATAATTATAGAACAAAGTAAAATGGAGTCTCTCGCAAAATAAATTTAATTTTAGTGGAAGGGGGGCGGTAGTCGTTGGTGGTTTTAGGTGAAGGGAGGCGGTTCGTTGGGTAGGTATGGGGAGGGAGTTTTGCGGTGGTGGTGATGGGGAGGGGATGGGGGAAGCCGGAGAGTGAATGGGAGGTGGATGGGGTGGTGTGGGGGTTTGGGTTGGCTGGTTTTTTTTTTTTTTTTTTTTTTTTTTTTTTTTTTGTTTTTACTTTGATTATTTATTTTGTTTTTTTTAAAGATTACAACTAATCACAAAGTGACACATACATTGTAACCTATTAAAACCGGTTACCAACAGGTTAGGGACCATTAGAGAAAAAACCCCTATAAAGGTGAGATTATTAAATTATAATCCAAAGGTGAGATTATTAAACTGGCCAAAAGGACAAATTGCTTAAAACTTTTTTATCATTATTGTACACACAAATTGCTTAAAACTTTTTTTTTTCTACTTAAAAAGTGGGGGGACAACTCTTACAAAGTGGGGGGGGGGGGGGGATATGTCCTTCCTTGTACCCACCTGGCTCTGCCAATGGTTGAATATTATTCTGTAATAAACTACACATTGATATGAATTTAATAAGACTTAATATGAATTAAATGATTATATTATACTTTATATGTTGAGAGTAATTTAGAATATTATCTCAACCTATGAATTATGCTTGTCAAAAACAAATTACGAATAATGCTAAGATTTCAAATGAAAAAAACAAAAAAGATCAGAGCCTTTTTATTTTTTTAATAATCACAACCATAGGCAAAAATTAATATTCACAAACTCTTCATATTGATTATAACTTGTAACCATATTTCTGTGTTTAATCTTAGGGAATATTTTACCATCCTTCAAAACACCTTATTTTGATTTAATCATCTATTTTTTTTATAATTATTTTATCACCCATAAAAATGCAATATGTTAGATTTCACCCAACTGTAACTTCACATGATGGATAAGGCAGTGTGCGTAAATGTGTAAGTCATTCGTTACTTTACTTCATTATCTCTGTAGTCTGTTGCATTGCGTGGTTTTATGTTTTGGATAGAATTCTTTCAATACTTGTTGGAGACAGACTAATGGCAACTCAAGCTTTGACGAATGTACTCAAATCAAAATTAATAATTACTTGTTGTTTGCTTATAATTGTTGGAGACAGATTAAATTAAATAATTACTTGTTGTTTGCTTATAATTGTTGGAGACAGATTAAATTAATAATTACTTGTTGTTTGCTTATAATTAAAAAATTCTTTCAATACTTGTTGGAGACAGATTAAATTAAATAATTACTTCTTATTTGCTTTATAAATAGCAACTCAAGCTTTGACGAATGTACTCAAATCAAAATTAATATCCACAAACATCTCATCCAATCAACTAACAAAATGAAGATGTTTTTTTTGGTGTTCTCAGTTTAGCCGTAGTGTTTTTTGGTGGTAATTTCTCTACTCTTAAAATTGTTTAACAATATAAATTGTAAAGTTTACTTATGCACTGTACAACATATATATATTACTCAGTATAATTCAAAATGTTATTAAACTAGTTACAATGTATACTTTCATAATATATATCGATCAACTTTAATAATTATGTTCCATGCAGGTTGTGAATGCGGGAGAAGTTGACTTCCATAAGAAGTCCGAGTTCAAGGAATCGGACTACGTGTTCTTCAACTATAACGACCTTAAGGTCGGGCGCGAAAATGCCGATTTACTTTGGTGGCGCATTCGATGCAGAAATCCCACGTTTTCTTCCTAAGAAAAAAAGCCGACATGATCCCTTTTTCATCCCAACACCTCTCCTTTATTCTCAACTATTTCAGCTTCCAACCCGAATCTCCTCAAGCGAAAGCCATGGAATTCAGTCTTAAAAAGTGTGAGGCCGAAATTCCCCACGCCAAAGGAGCCAAAAAATGCGTTACATCCTTAGACTCTATGATCGACTTCAAAAGTAGCACTACCAATAACGGTGGTCAGTTATTTGATGATCTTAAGGTGTTGAGTACAAGTCCACTTCTGAAATCAGCCAAAGTATTTCAACCTTACACAATCATTGAGCAGCTAAAAAGAGTCCCGAGCCCTAAAATGACCGCGTGTCACATGCTGACTTATCCTTACGCGGTCTACTATTGCCATAACCCTGACCCTGAAAACCGAGTGTACGAAATTAGTTTGTTGGGTGAGGATGGTACTCGTGTTAACGCGGTTGCCAGTTGCCACATGAACTCGAATGCATTTGACGCTAATCTCGCGTGTTCCGTATGTTCAACATTGCACCCGGCTCTCCAGTTTGCCATTTCCTCTCTTCTGATGGCCTGCTTTGGGTGCCTGCTAACCCATCCTTGATCTAATAGTGCTACTGCTGCTGCGACTACTAGTACGAGTTCTTTAATGAAGCAAGAAAGATGCTACTTCACTCTCATCGGACTCAGATCCACTCTATGTTAGTGTAGTTTGTTCTTGTTTATAACTTTCTAATGTCTTTAACTTGGCCATGAAGAGGATTCCCATAACTATCAAGTGTTTAATTGGGTCCTTAGTGTATGTTTTTATGATCGATTAATAAAATCTTAGCTTGGATTATGTGCAAGTACTATACTACCGCTAAATCCATGTTTCTCACTGTGAGAAACAAAAATTGTTTCTCACAGGGGTTTTTAACTTTTTATACTACCGTGACTAAAGTGGTACAATTTTATCATCTATTTCTTGTACTACCCTGAACAATTTCGTATCATCGCGACTAAAGTGGTACATTTTATTTACGAATTGCCACGGTGAGAAACATAAAATATTTCTCACAATGAGTAAATGGGACATCCTCCTATACTACTATTGGGGTATTGGGTGTTATATTATCTGTCTTCGATTGTTTTGCAAAATCAAAGCTATGGGAAATCAAGTGTAGTTCGTTCATAATCGATTAACAAACATTGGGGAGTGGTGACTGGTTATTGTTCGTTTTTTCAAAAATCAATGCATAAAAGTTAGGGTTATGGACTGCAAATGTCCAATCTCCAATCATACACTAGAAGATGGCTTACTAGAGAGCCGGGTGCAATGTTTAGTAATTTCAAAAAATGTATGAATTCCGTGAAAATGTTTACATAATTACTACCGAGTAATTACAAAGACGTAAAACTAAGACTATGGAGCAATTAAAACAACTACAATCACTTGAATTTTTTTGTAGTCGTCAATACATCTTCCTTTGTTTCATATGAATTTGTTTGAACTCGAAGAAATCAAAACTAAATTTAATTTGATAAACATTGTCACCACGTGAGTGACATGACCAATTAACCCAACCCAAATACTCAAATTGAGACGTATTACCAAATTGAGCTGATTTCACAAATAATTTACCAATCTAGACGCGTGGCCAAACTATTTACGAAACTAAGCTTCTTAGGTAAAAACGCTGACTCGGTTTAAAACGCTAATATGTCAAAGCCAGACCTTAAAACGCTGACTGAGGCAGCATTTTATATCAACAGATAATGCAACAGGCAGCGTTTTATCTACTGGCTGACTACAGCCAGCAACAACAGCCCCAACAACAGCAGCCATCCTCCACCACCACCACCCTCCTCCACTGCCACCTCCCATCCCCACCGGCATCCACCACCACCACTTCACCATCCACACACCCCTCCAACACCTCCCGACACCACCACCACCATCTCCATCCACCACCATCTCATCACATCCACTTACCACCCTCCCCCACCACCACCACCGGTATCAACCACCAACCTACCACCACCACCACCGCCCATCGACCAACACCCTCCACCGATGATTTCAACCATCCTTAGGCACTTCAAACCACCCCAACGACTTCCAAACCAGCCTATACTGATTTATTTTGAACAAAATGAATCAAATATGCATAAATAAGGAATTTGAAGTTCAAACAAGACATAAATTCATTCAAAACACATTTATTATAATAATAATGTAATGTAAGTGTTATATACAACAGACTAGAGAAGCTCATTACAACAATTAAATCAGATAATTTTATCCTATCCTGACACATTGATCCGGTGTAACGGTTCTCTATCCTGTATGTTGCCTCTCGGTCTGACACGACGGTTGTAGTGACGGACGGTGGTAAATGGGTCTGGGCGTACTGGCGGAGTCAGCTGGCTGGATGACGAGTCATCCGGATGAGGTGTGGGCGCGGAACTGCGGATGACGTACTCCTCTGTGGCCGTGAATGACGCAGGATCACCCCCACCGCTACTCTGGCCAGCCTCGAACTATGAGTGGACAGAGTGGCCTCCATGACCGTCCCGGGGGTGGACGAGATAGGAATGACCATATCTTTGCAAGGTAGCCATGCCCATATCTCGCACCCGCTCGATCTGTGCTCTAGGCGGTTCAGGTATCTCTGGAAGGGCGTCCGACAGTGCATCAACCATCGTCGTCATATCCAACGCCTGCAGTAATTATGGATGAGTTAGTTAAATGATATACAAATTAAAAATTGATGAAATAAGTAAATCAAATACACTTACATATCCATAGATCACGTCAAAGGATGGATGGTAATGTGCGGATGGCGGCGTGTAGCTGGGGTTGATAAAACGTCGTGTAATATGCCTGTACCACACCATGTATGGATCGTATGGATCCATAACGCCCTGGATGGGTTCATCAGTGACGACGAACTCTAACTGTCGATACCACAAGTCAATGTACTGGGCATGCTCCATGAACCAGTTCCTCTCCCTCTTTCCCCGACGATCAATGCAGTGCAGCCGAACACTAGTGTCATACTGCTGGGGGACAGGCTGGCGTAGTCCAAACTATTGCATGACTCTATCCGGTAGGTGACTCTCCACAACCTCAAAACAGATCAGGGGGACCCTAGCACGCCACTGCGCCTGATGATCTAGCAGATGTGGAGGCATGGGAGCAACTAAATCGGCTTCATACGGGTCCCATGTCATCTGCAATAACACATACAAAGTAATATCGTAAACAGGTTAGTGCATATTAAATAGGTTAAGAGTATACATAATAAATAAATGTTTACAAAATAAATTAAAGTTATCACCTGATCCTCGGTGATTCGGTCAAGTGCGTCTCGGTAGTACGGAAGGCCCCTCGTCGCATGCACATATGTCAGTCTGGGGACCGCCCATCTGCAACCGTACGCCTCGTCAGCGGTAGGGCGTGGTGGAGGAATGTACCTCTGATACTGCTGGTCTCGATCCTGCTGCCCCTGACGATGTATAGCAGGCCTACCTGGCCTGCCTACATGGATGTGCTCCCAAGACCAATACTGGACATCAAACACACAAAAACTAGGTTAATTGTAAACTAGGTAAGAACTTACCAAATTAAATTGTTAACAGTTAGGTAGGTTACCTGAAGCAAAAATAACAGACCGCTGATCTCACGAGAACCCCGGCGGGATGCTCTACACAGATGGCGATACAACATCGCCAAACAAGCACTGCCCAGCTGTAGCCACGGATATGCTCCTAGTCGTGGTCTAACAACTGTAGGTAAATGATCTGTTCATGGCTGCCACTCTTGCCACCGAACAACACACCCGAGATGAGCAGAAAAAGGTACGCTCGAGCATGTCTCTCAACAGTGGCCTGATCAGCATCGTCTGGAAACACACAAAAAGTGTCGCGTATCCAGCCGGTCCTCAATCCGCCACCCCTGATATCGTCCGGACCTGGTTGAACCTCGAGAACCTGAGCTACATAACCGGGGGGATCGACCAACGCAGATCCAATCACCGGACTCCCATGAATGGGAAGGCGTGTGAGTATCGCCACGTCTCGCAATGTCACAATCGCCTCCCCAACAAGTAGATGGAAGGAGTGCGTCTCCTGTCTCCATCTCTCCACAAGCGTAGTAACAAGCGCTGGGTCGACATCTCTGAACGCCATCCGATGTATACCCATGAAGCCAGCCTGCTCGACGAAAGGCAGAATGCGGGGATCGATAACCCAATCCCTAACGAACGCGGTAGTGTAGTGCCGCAATGTCAGGATGCCTGCCGGATCAACCGACTGAGTCCAAATGTCAAAGCTACGATGTGTGTCCTGTAGGGTAAGGACAGAAGGGTTAGTGGGTCCGAGTGTCCTGTCTCCGGGTATCCTGTCTCGGGTGTCCATGGTATCTGTTCATTAACAATGGTATAATCCAACAATTAGAGATTAACAATTACAGACAAGCGATAACAAAATACAGGCAGCGACAAACAACAAATTTCAAATCTCATACTTTAATCTAAAAATATTCTAACTATTACAATCATTAGAAATGCAGAAATACAATCAACGTACTATTCTACTAAATCATTCTAGATAAAATAAAAAAATAAAAATAATAAAACTTAGTGCCCGGTCGATCTAGATGGACACGATATCTTGTTGTGACCCTGCTGGTGACAGAGGCTGCATTTGCTCGCGGGACGGTTGGTCTCATCCATTTCATTGCGTATGCGCTTTGACTTAGGGCGACCTTGTCCTCGTACCATGCTGTTGTCGGGAATGAGTTTAGGGCCTCCATACTCTCTCCATGCCGTCTCACAAGGGATAGGCCAGAATTGGGGAGCGTATGTGTTTGCGTAGGCCTCTGATTGCAGTACCCGGTCCACCCATGGCCGCTCTGATATCGAATACTTCGCACAAAACTTCTAGAACATGAGAACATGGGAGGTGGAAGATCCGTGGTTTATTGCATGTACACGTTCTTAACTGAAAGTTAACAGTATGTCTATGGCCTCCTTTTCTACCAATTCTATCTCCCCTCTTTGTTTCAACTTGATATATATGCAGTCGACGGTTATACGCTTCCACTTTGTGATATCTAGCCTTTGCGATGTTTTTCTCCATAGTGGAAGTGACCTTGGGGGGGTATGCAAGTCCTTGTTCAGATGTAGCCTGAGATAATTCCCTTCTATCAGTGAAATACTTATTAACTCTATGGAATGTTAACTCAACAAGGGACATGATAGGTAGAAATCGAGCACCCTTCAACACATTGTTAAATGTTTCTGAGAAGTTCGTAGTACATATCCCATATCTGCGACCAGCATCGTAAAACAAAGACCACATAGGCAACGACACTTGGACAATATACTGTATGGCCTTGGTACATGCCTGACCGATCAAACTCAAATCAGCTTGCAGTTTTCTTTCCTGCCTTTGGTACGCAACAGCCTTGAACATATCTCTCATGTCGTTTCTTCGCACGTGAGTCTTCAAGTTAAAAGCCAAGTGGCGAACACAAAACCTGTGATAGGCTCGCGGCTCGGTGAATCCACGTTAGGGTCATTCATTGCTGCAATGATCCCAGCATGTCGATCAGATATA